GAATGGATTAAAAAAAAAAAACAGGATCCATCAATATGCTGTCTACAAGAGACATAGCTTAGAAACAAAGACGTAAACTTATTAAAAATCAAAGGTTGGAAAAAAATTTATCAAGTGAACAACTATCAAAAAAGAGCACGAGTGGCAATACTAATCTCAGATAAAATAGACTTTTAAAAAATCCACCATAAAAGACAAAGAAGGACACTATAGAATGATTAAGGGGACAATCCATCATGAACACGTAACCATAATAAACATCTATGCACCCAATGACAGGGCTCCAAAATACATAAAGCAAGCTCTAACAGCACTGAAAAGATAAACTGACAGTTCCACAATAATAGTAGGAGACTGCAACACACCACTCTTGGTAAAGGACAGAACATCTAAAAAGAAACTCAACAAAGATACAGAAGACCTAAAGGGCACAATCAGCCATCTTGACCTCATAGACATATATAGAACACTCCACGCTACAGCTGCAAAGTACACATTCTTCTCCAATGCGCATGGAACATTCTCCAGAATAGACCACATCTTAGGCCACAGAGCAATCCTCAACAAGATCCAAAATGCTGAGACAATACAAAGTATCTTCTCTGACCACAATGCCATCAAGGTAGAAATTAACAACAGAAAGAGCAAGGAGAAAAATCAATTACAAGAATGGCCTGTCCTACATGAGGAAATGCTTGTGATCACCAGCCATTAGAGAAATGCAAATTAAAACCACAATAAGATACCATCTCACCCCAGCATTACTGGTACGAATCAAAAACACTGGAAATAACAAATGTTGGAGAGGCTGTGGGGAGATCGGAACTCTTATGCACGGCTGATGCGAATGCAAAATGATACAACTGTTTTGGAAAATGATATGGCACTTCCTTAGAAAGCTAAAAATAGAAATATCAAAGGATCCAGCAATTCCACTCCTAGGAATATATCCCAGAGAAGTAAGAGCCATCACACGAATAGACATATGGACACCCATTTTCATTGCAACATTATCCACAATAGCAAAAAGATGGAAACAAGCTAGATGCCCATCAACAGATGAATGGATAAAGAAACTATGGTACATACACTCAATGGAGTATTATGCAACGATAAAGAACAATGAAGAATCTGTGAACGATCTCATAACATGTATGAAACTGAAGGACTTTATGCTGAATGAAATAAGTCAATCACAAAAAGACAAATATTGTATGAGACCTCTACTGTAAAAACTCAAGAAGTTTACACACAAAAAGAAACAATCTTTGTTGGGGTATGAGGGATGGGAGGGGTGGGGGGAAATACTAAATAGACAATAGATAAGTGGTAACTTTGGTGAAGGGTAAGACAGTACACAATACTGGGGAAGCCAGCACAACTT